GGGTCCTTTGCATTTCCCTGCCAGTTTCAGTCAACATCACCCTTTGGGGCATTCTCTTTGGAGCGATGTTTCAAGGCAGGACTTTGTCCGTCCCAGATTCCGCAAGAGAGTGGCGTCACCATTTGAGCAAACAGATGTTACCCTTTTGGGAGGTGGATCGGTGCATGAAGAACCAAATCCAGACCACACCCGGGGACACACGTCACGTCTATTTAAGGGTTTGGCTTTTTTCGGGGTGCACACTTCTCGGGAAGTTTTAAAGGGAAACCAAAGGAAAGCACCGTTTGGGAGGGTCCGATTTCTAGAAAGCGACACAGACAATTTGGAGAGAACCATCCCGCGATCGAGTTTACGGACTTCTTCTCCATCGTGGACTTGATTTCCATTCTGCCCTTTTATGCCCGGGGCCTTTGGCTTCACGTCGGAAAGGGGCCATTGAGTCAAGACCGAGGGTCACGGCTGCCGAAATTCTGCGGTTGCTTTTGGGTCTTCCGTTTGCTTAGTATGCTTTTGTTTGTCCCCTGTTGGTTTTAAAGCGACTCTGGCACTACTGAAAATATGTTCTCCATCAGACTAGGGCAGCTTGAAGGTTAGTGTTGCTTTTTGAGAGGCCAAGGTTCCACAAAAGACAGCCCATCTTTGACAGCTCTCCGTTGGGCAGTCCCTTCACCATTTGAACAGATTCCCGAATGACATGCCCTTGTCCTTGTTCGATGATGCCAGCATGTTTATGTGTCAACCCTCGCCCGGGTTAGTCTTCCTGTTTTGGGGCATTCAGCGACCTCAACTGGATGCGACTTCTGTTGCAGTGGTACCTTTTGAGACCTTCGAGCCAAACGATTGGCCTTTCCTGTCTTTGGCAGGGAAGTTTATCCCTAATGGTTCCTCACAAGGGAGCCGTCACTTCCCGAGTTTCTCTTGACTCGCATTTTGGGAAGACTAGTTTGGTCAGTGATACAAACTTGGACTCTGAAACCAGGAACTTTGAGCTTTCCCCAGACGCGCTTTTATTTGACTGAAAAGTGCTTGGTTGCCCGAATCCCCGAATTTTGATGTCCACCAGCTTGGGTCCCTAAGTCAGACTCATGAGCATAGATCTCCTTTTGATCGGTTTGGATCGAAATTTATTGGGTTCCACTGGTTATGGTTTTTCTCCATTTACCAACGCCAACGAAGTTTCCAAGAGGTCAGCGGAAGTTGAGCCTCGGTCTGACGGGCCCTCGTCCGTGCCCGGTTTCAACTTGACTGCTATTGGGTTAACTTTGTTTTTTCTCGAAATCAAGGTTTTTTGTTTTACCCCAAAAATGTAAACAACTTTTTGCAGGGGGGTCGTTGCAGCAACCAAGTGTTGGACCCTCAAACTTCCATAATTTTGGGGGGTCACCCATGGTCCCGGGTCCCATGGACCCTGAACCTTTCCGGTTTCAAGTGGAGGTGGGTCCCGCCAGCAACGAAGTCAAGTCAGAGGTGCATTTTTGCTTGGATGTTAGAACTTTAACTTTTTGCCAACTAATGGGTTTTCCCCAGTAAATCACTCAAAGTTAGTCACTTTTAGCAGGGCTTCGCAGAAAGCAACCGAGAAGTGGCAGAGGTGGACCTCGCGATCCCCGGGCGGCAGAGCTACTTGGCCACTCAGTGGGTGCGAGTGGCCCGGCGCCCCGGCGCCCGGAGAGCCACGATGCGGGAGACTCACAGGTCGAGGAAGAGTTCGAGCAAAAAGGCAATTTGGCTGTGGGTCAAAACCAATGGGATCCCCATTTTGGGGTAGGTGCACCACCCATGTTAGAGCCTATTTTAGTCGGGGTTGGGATGTTCACTGCATGTACGGGCTTTTGACACACGGCCATTTGATGGGAAGAAACGAGTTTTTTTTTTTAATCGTAAAGAAATCGGCAGGTTCACCAAACATGGGCCAATCAGTGAAATGAGGGGCAAGAGGGGTAAATGAGGGACAAATGAAGGGCAGAGCGAGATGCAAGGAGAACTCTATGACTGGTTGCTGCCTGTTCGCTTCCAGAAGCAATTGGCGACAAAAGGGCCAAGCCCCCTTTGCCGTCGCAGAGCTGCTTTTTTTGCAGGACCGGGCCATCACCAGAAGCGAGGTAGGCGGCTGATGTTGCTCCTTGTTTGTGTCAGGAAGCCCGCGCCGGTGAGCAGCTTTAGCATGCGTGTCTTTTCTCCGGTGTTGGGAGCAAGATCTCCAGTTGCCCAAGGTTCCACGTGCTTTTCTGGAAGCTCCTGCTTTAAATAAAATGCAAAAGAAAGCGGCATGTTGTGGGCCCTTAGATGGCTGGCCCAGTCAGGAAACTGGGCGGCCCATTGGTGAAAGCATGGCTTTGCTTCCTGCAGAGATCGAGCGGGTGCGGTGGGTTTGCTCCGCCTCGCTCCCATCCAAAGGGCGAAATCCGGAAAGCACTGAAAACCACCAGTGTTCAATGAAGAAAGCACCCTGCGCCATGTCCAAAGCCCTTCAACCCTAAGCCAAGCCTAAACCAACCCCAAACCCCAAGCCCTAAACCCTCAAGCTCACAGAATTCCGGGCTAAACATCCCGCCCGCGCCGCACGCCGCGCGCCCCGCGGCTCAGCAAGTCGCAAGCAGATCGCTGGTCAAACATTTCACTCGCAAGGCGCGGGGGAGTGACAAAATCGTGGGCGCCTTTTTTGGAGGCTCGGGACCCTTTGTTTGGTGGTTTTAAAGGAAAACCAAAAGGAAAGCCACAATTGTGCGGGGTCCCCCCCAAAAAAAGAAGAATGACACACCCATTTCTGGCGTGTGTCGAAGCCAAGAAATAGCTAAAGGCGTTCGCACTGCCCATTTGCCCAGAGCCATAGTAACCGGATCTTGCCCTTCAAGTTGTTGAAAGGAATTTCCGCCGCGCGCCGCCCACAATGCGCCGCTTCCTGCGATTCTCCTCCGCTCTGTTTTTGGTTTGTCCGCAAATCTTGTCAGATGGTTTTATCAGTCGTATCCCATTCGTTTCTTGCTGATCTTCACTCTATACTCCCCGCCCTTCTTCTTTTCTCCTTTTCTTGCTTTCTTTCTTTAAACATATCTCCATTTTCGTGTCCTTGCCACTTTGCTGCAGGCTCAGTGTGTTCACTTCCCGCAACTTCGCAACCTCGACCATCTAGTCATTGCTTCAGCTTCGCCTGCTTTGATCTCGTGTATTTCGCGGGGGGCGGGGGGGCTATGGGGTAATGGCTAGCTGGACATGTGCATGCGGCCGAGCCAAGATGGTGATGGATCAGCCTGGTGCAAGTTTAGTTGCAGGAATACGTTCCAGACTCTCGTGCCAAATGGCTTTGCGCGATGGTTGGCAGAAATCCAGTTGTGTTGTATGCTTAGTGTCCACCAAACGCTTCCCAAACGAACCTCGCAAATGGGCGGATTTGAAAGCACCGTGCCTTTGGGTTGCTTTATGAAAGCAAAAGCAAATCACCCAGCTTGGAGGGTTCCTTCTCCATCAAAGGTCACACTTGAACCCATTGTGCTGTTTTTGGTGCAAAGACCCTTCTGGTTGGTGTTCATTGACTATATCCTGCAAAGAACCCGTTACACAGAGTTGGTTTTGGAGGTAAACCAATTGAAGCACAGAAGAAAAACATATGGAACATCTCAGAGATCCAGCCTTCGCGCCAGGCTGAAGTGATGTTCTTCTGCACCCAGGCGGGGGCTAAGCTGGGAGCGGGGGAACCAGATCTGAGCCTTGTGCCGAAAAAACAAAAAGAAGAGAAACGCGTCCTTGGCGCAACACTGATTATGTAAAAGGGGATGAAATTGTCGCTGCTGGCTTGCTGGCTTGCGCCCGTGAGTGAGTGAGTTTCGAGGCCTGTACTGATGTGGCGTCGGATGAAAACGACACCTTGAACGCCACAGATCCCACTGTCGCCGCCCAGCTGCACGACAGAGATCGGGAAATCGGACTTGCAGGTATCCAAATGCGCCTAAGAGGGAGCTGATGAGGGAGCCACCGCCCGATTGGAGTTCTGTGAGAACATGGTATTTGGCACTTTGAGATTTCTAGCCCCTGTTTTTGTTCCAAAAGTCTTTCATTCGACCTTGAATCCTTTTGCCTGGGTCGGTTCAGCATCAGTGTGATGCATTGTGTGTGTGTTTGTTAAAGCGTTATTATGGACAACATTTGTGCCGTGACCTTCCTACTGTGGGTGGGCAAAGTCCTGCGCCGGTCCACAGTATTTACAGAGTTTTGAGGTGTTTGTTGGGGTTGCTGAGGAACATTACCGGTCCGCGCTGCATGACTATGGCAACAAACCCCTCAATAAAACGACAGATATTGGCCAATTGGGTCGAAGCAGGGTGCAAGGCGAATCCTGGGCAAGACGTCATTTGCATAGTTCACTACATAGGTTTCATGTTTGTTTGGGCAGCACAACAAAATGAACATGAGCACCACGCGCATTTGAATACATAGGTTACATGGTTGGCCCGGAAAGCAGCAGGAAATTCCACGGCTTAGGGTCTTCCTCTCCCCGCACCTCGCTTCAAGTGGAACGCCCTAGGACACAGCCCCGAGCAAGCTTGAGCCGCAAGAGGCATGGGGGGGAAGTTGGGACGGAAGTTGGGACCACTGCGGCTTCTGAGGCATGTTACTTGATTGTATTGGGTCAACCACTTTTGTTTAGTCACCCCAGCAAGCGTCCTCTAAGAAAAGACAGGCCAATTTCTTGATTGCTATTGAGTTGGATCGTTTGCTTGAACGGCGAGCTGTAGTCTTCCCAAGTTGGCTGAGATGTCGCAAGAAAGCCGAATGGGCATAAAGAGTGAAGAACTGCTTGCAGAGGGGTTGACAGCAACCAAGTTAGTGCCAGGGCTTCTTCTCCCTAGGTTCTGATGTTCAACATGCTTTTGTGAACGTGGGCCCATCGCAAAAGGTTCGTATGAAGAATCTTCAAGGTTCTGCCAGACTTGCATTGAGTCAGGGTGAGCTCATGGAAGCTGAGCATGTTGTGTTTGCCACAGTCAGTTGCTGGCAGCCGCATGCCGGCGGATCGATGAAACAAGGAGGAGCAACAAAAACGATTCCGCACAAGCAATCGACCGGATCTGACCTTTTGGTTTCCCCTGGTGGGTCCATTTTGAGTCATGGCCCCAAAAGGTGATCACCAAAAAAAATCCGGAGCTTTTGGGCAACTGAGTTGTAGTGACCTTAGCAGGCGCCCAGTCGGCAGCCTGTTTTCTCAGGTCGGCGGCTGCCAAGTAACAAAGCCGAAGGGGTTCTGCAAAGGTATGAACAAGCGGGGAGATCGGAAGCGAGACGAGGGTGGCTTCTTCATAAACAAGTCGAGGCAAACCCAAGAGCAAACTGATCTATGGCTATTTGCTTGGATCTTTGGATTTTAGCTTTTTGGGACCAAGGGAATTTTCCATTGGACCCCAAAAGAACAGTTTGTTGCCACGGGGTCAACAGCAACCAAGAACCCCCCCTTTTCCTGATAAAGCACACTATACGATTTGGAGAGCCCCGAATGAGAAAGTAGAGGAAGGTAGTTAAAGGCAGGACCTTTCATGTGCGTACGTCTACGTGGAAGACTTCGGGCACTGCTGGCCGGCTGTATGTGAGTTCTCATGATGTACCGAGAAGCCTTTGGCTTTGGATTTTGCACACCGGCAAGCCAACGGAGTGCCACGGTGCATTTGGGACATTGCGTCCCGACTAGGGGCTCGCCAGCCAAACGGATCGTTCAGAGACCCCTC